AGGCCTGGTTCACACCTGGGCGTTTTGTAGCGCGTTCGAACGCTCTGCAAAACGCTCAAACACCGAAATCCCATTATTTCCTATGTGTATGGTTCACACCTGGGCGTATTACAGGCTGTATGAACACGCTACAAAATGCCCTACGCCCAAAGAAGTACAGGAGCTTCTTTGGGGCGTTTTTGTCGCGCGTTTCCATTGGGATACAGCCAAGTAGCCCTCGGAAACGCGCGTTTGTCGCGCGTTTTTTTGACCACAAAGTGTACAAAAAATAAGGAAAATAAAACTTTTATATATAAATATTTTTATACTATAATTATTATTAAAAACATTCTAAAAATAATAATCAAAACTTGCTGCTGTGGAAGAATCGCACAGTAAAAATTTAAAAAGCGTGTCAGTCAGGAACAGAAACTAAAAACTAGCTCAGTCATGAAGGGGTTAAAGAGCAGCTCCAGGAATTAACCAAATGAACCCTTGCAGTGGGGCTTCTCCGCTATATGTTATGCGTTCCTAGTCACACAGCTTGTCTATAGAGAATTTGAAGCAAAACATTCTTAGCTATTTAGATGTTTCTTTGGTGAATACCTTTGTGCAGTTTGGAGGCTTCTTTGACCAGCTTGAAAGTGAATGTTAAGGGACAGACGGAGCTTCCTCTCGTAAGCATACAATGCTTCTAAGTCTTTGAGGACAGACTGTGTTCAAATCTAGTTCACAACTGATAATGACATCTGCCAACACAGTACACGTCCACCCTCGGCTTATATTCGGGTCAATACTTTTTCCCAGTTTTTTTGGCTAAAATTAGGTACCTCGGCTTATATTCGGGACGGCTTATACTCGAGTATATACGGTAATTGGAGTATAGGTAACTTCCCACCGCCCACTCCTTAGGATTTTTAAGTTATTTTCAAACTGAAGCAGCATTTTATTTTTAAATGTGAATGGGAACATATAACAAATATAAGATAGAAGTTATCCCAATTTAGCTTTAATAACGGCAGCATAATGGCAGTACTGACTTTAAAGAAGCTGCTTGCAGAGTTCAATATGCTTTGTGTAGTTCAAGCAGTACTTGAAACTTGCTGAAAACCTGCTGAAGCCTACTTCTTTAAAGTGTCATCCAGCACTTCCCGTCATCCAGCACTTCCCGTCATCCAGCACTTCCCAATTGTTTCCAAGAACCACCCGCACTGCTTACGGTCTGCAACCTTTCAATGGTGGTGCTCACGGTGATCACACGGATGGCACCGTGCAAAAACTCAGAATCGTCTCAACAGGTCACCAGCACACACACACACAGATGAATTCAATATCTCTTTGATATATTTATTGAAGAATGTCACAGCATGTCATTAGAAGCATCTCACTCGCCCTGATGAAGGGTCCCTGCGAGGTCCCGAAATGCTAGCTTCAGCTTCTAATGACAAGCCGTGACATTCTTCATTAAATATATCAAATAGTTATTGAATTCATCTGTGTGTGTGCTGGTTAATTTCCATTAAAAACAGGTTGCCCAATTGTACTTTTACAGGACACAGGCTGTTTAAGTCTTGGACTATTGCGTTATGCAGCTGTCTTCAGGTGATTTTAGACACTGGCAAGCAAAGCTCAAAAACAGCGCTATATAACCTCCCACTCCCAGAAAGCCTCAGTTTTTTTTTTTTAGTCTTTTTAGGTGAACGGACATCTCTCTGCTCTGCATGAAACAAACATGTTGTGCTATTATTTTTTTTCTTTGGAATATTTTTCAAGAAGCTTCTCTAGGAGACTTCTCAGCTGCTCCATAGCCACTGCAGCTTTGGCCTGTAATCTAGCTGTGGGCACTGGATCCTGCGTGAAGATGCTCTCCTAGTCTCAGTGCAAAGCGAAGAGTTAGCCACTCATATTATAGTTAGGGTGCTATACATGTCCAAGGCTGTGATCCACCTGCCAGTGGAATAGTGTCCCTGAAGACCCCTTAGGGAGTATGCCCACTAGGAAGGCAAATATCTCCATGGGGCTTGGTTTCTTTAATCCCTTGAAGTGCACTATGTGAAACCGCTGGTATCGATGGCTAGTCAGGGCTCTGTATCTGGACCCCAGGGTGCCTTTGCTCCTGTCCCTAAGGGGTTAACCGACAGAGCAGGTCTGCTGCACCACTTTTTACATTTGGTGCCCTATTTTCCCTTGCTTTCACAGGTCACAGAAGGTTTAACCCGTCCTGCTCTGCAGCGACAGTCATGAGCACCCCTAGTGGCATATCCCTCCAACAATTTAAGCTTCTACCGGTGGCCTTACACTACTGTGTTGATGGCTGGACAGTCTCTCTTCTGGATGATCTGGCCTCCAGCGCAGATTCCAGGTGTGAAACATTGGCAGGCAGACTTCCTCCGTCATCAATGTCTGTACTCTGGAGTATGGTCCCGGAGACGTTTCAAGCTTTCTGTTGTTGATGTGGAGCCCCTGGCCTTGAAATGTAACAATCTGGACAGGTTTGTTGCCAGGATTAGGGGTCCTCGAGTATTCTCATTGGATGCTCTGGCGATTTCATGGGATCAGTGTGACTTCATCTAAGCGTTTTACCCTTTGACACTTCTCCCTTGCCTACTCCGCAGTATCAAGATGGAGGGCATTCCGCTGATCCTATAATATTTTATTGGTATTGTGACGAACTTCAAAACCAGTGTGTTTGGCATGCGAGAAACATCTTTTTTCTCTTCTTAAGCCTACATTCTACCGAGCCAGCCCTGCAGCTTTTATTGAGCTTTTTATGATCTTTTCTGTTTCAGGTAGATTACGAAAGTGAAGAGGAGGAGACCCCGGTGGACGAAGAGCAACAGGATGAGGAGAACACGCCTCAACAGGAGGAACTTGAAGACTCCCGGGAGCTCAATGAAGAGGAACCCACTTCATTACCCTCCCCAGCATCCAGAAAGAATAAAAAACAAACAGGCCTCACCAAAGAAGTGTTGGCAGAGAATCGGATCAATGATGTCCTGAACCTCCACGATGCAATTGAAGAGTATTCGTATGATACAGACAAGAGCCTGTGGTGTGAGGTAAGATGCCTCAGGCTTATATAATGCTAGTATTGTTCCTTTACACTAGTCCCATCCAAGGATAAAGAAATCTTGAGTCCATAACATCCATTCCAATGTCTCCTTTGTTCTCTCTTCCACCAACACTCCAAGGCCTGCCAGTTATTGAGCCCACAAATTCGTTCTGTTGCTTCCGGGTTGTAAGGTTAGTAAACGTCCATCTTGATGCTATGTACAAATCAGATTAAAAAAAAGCACAAGATCCTCTCTGATAGTACTTGAAAATCCAAAACAAATTCATTAAACGTTCACACCAGAAAAGCTTTAAAAAAAAGGTCTGAGGGTTTTAAAATCGGATTGTATGCATTGCACTCCAGTGGGTTTGCTTGTAGCAACAGGACAAAGGTGCTGGAGAAGCCATGTCTTGGAGAGGATTGTTGATTTTTTTTAACGATATGTAAAGAATGAAGATAATAGGCTGTAAGTGCATTTTTAATCATTTTGTATTTAAAGAGCTACAAGAGCTGTGCTTGTGCCTTTTCTATCCTAGTTGTACACATCATTCAGGACTGACAGTCACCAACCTTACAACCCTGAACTAATAGGATGAATCTGGGGACACAATGGGAGTGTTGGAAGAGGGAAAGGGGATGGAAGGGCGGAGAAGACATCAGAAATGATTGTGTTTACGGACTTAGCATTAAGCCAGGTTTAGTTCACCTCGCAAATTGACTGTACAATCTCTTTTAGATCTACCAATAGGTTTATAATACAAAGGGCCTGCCTGACTGGATACAGATGCATTGTATAGTCTAGATAGGTGCTCATGATACATAGGTTTGGTAGATCTACAGGTGATTATACAGCTAGATTGTTATGGTAACCCTTAGTCCCGCATGGAACCATCAAGCTGCACCTTTTGGAGGGGACTACTGACCACTGTAAAGGAACAATACTACCATATACTGGAATAACCAAGGAAGTTAAAGGGTAATTCTGGTTTTCCAGCACTGTGGGAAACTTTTTTTGGGGGAACTGCCAAC